ATGAGTTCATGTGTTCACCTGTAGAGTCTCTAAATGTCTGTAATGGAACTAAACGTCTCTTTAAAGGACGTTTCCTCTAAATGAGTTTGTTCTCAGACTCTGATGATAAATCTCCACTTCAGCAGCTCTTACTTTCACCAAACTTCACTCGTTCATTCCTCTCTGTGTGCTGAAGGTTCACACATCACTCACACACTCATTTATACATTTATTAATAACAACATGAGGGAATAGTGTTGTTTCCAGAATGTTGACAGTATTCTCTGATTAATGGAGTGAAACAAAGAGACATCATGAATGTAAAAAACATTTGACTCCAATATGTTAACATGAAACAGGAATTTTGAACCTGGGTTTATCCAATGTTCAGATTTATGTTCTGAACTTGATACGATAATGCCTCATATGCATATTTAAACATTCATTTTTCAGAAAACTTGTAAAATGAACTTATTGTCTCAATGTAAGCAATGAACTTGGGGAAGTTTCATGGTGATAACTATTATATATCTAATTATTTTACACTATTCACTCTTGGCTTCTCCAGAAAGAGGGAAGAATTTCTTACTAGAAAAACGAACAAGCACTGTGTTAATGTGAGTGGGGACTATCCACCTGCAGTGTCTCCTCTGCACTTGTGAGAGTTTCTGCTAAAAATGAAACAGAAAAAAGGCGACGAAGAGAGAAGCGTAGGAGCGGCAACACCTCGGTTTGAGTATGAGGCTGCCGCTCGCCTCCTCTCCACCGTCTCTCTCTATCCGGCTCGGTGAAGACGGCGTGAACTCACCCTCTTGATGTCCTTGCCGAAGGTCTCGCTGAAGCTGGAGCCCAGGATCTCGAACTGGACGTGAGAGTTTGAGCCTCCGTCCTTGAAGTCCATCGTCCCCGTCAGACCTGTGATGTTTCCCTGAAGAGAGAAGAGAACACATTTACTTTTTTAATGAACTAATAAACTTCAGAGTCTCATGTATCTTAACCTCTTACTTTTACAGTGTGGTTTTTGGCCACTCATTTAGTTGTTCAGTGTGGAGGACGTTGCTCCGGCTACTTTTATTAAAGCGTGTTTTATCTCGTACCCGTTGTAAAAGAGTCAGTATTGTTAACTTTAATGTTCATGCAGATAAAATGTAATGAAGTGACAGAGAGAGAGGGACGGAGACAGAAAAGACAGAGGACACTGAGACGATATTAAAAAAGAGGTCAAAGGGAGCGACGAAGGAGGAAATAGGTTAAGAGGAGGGGGGAAGGAGGGAAGGAGGGAAGTGAGGGAAGGAGGGAAGTGAGGGAGGTGAGGAAAAGAGAGAGGTGAACAAAATCCTCCAGGAAGAGTAGAGGCCAAAAGGTGGAATTACACCTTTACAATTAAAGGTGGAATACATTTGGTGTAAATCAGCAGATTTCTTTATTTGTTATTTAGGTGAATGAACTTCTACTTCCTGTACCTTTAAGGATCAATCCCATGATGCTTTGTGAGCTGCTAAGATGTGTCATAGTAGACTCGTTTGAGATGAGCAAGATGACGTCATGAACACGTGGTCATCGATGACCTAACGAGAGCGAGCCGAAGATGCAGTTTTTAGAGGAGTCTGCATGACCCAATGCATGATGGGAAACGCCTGGCTGTCGCCGGATCAAAGAGCTGATTGGCTCTTAGATTTGACAACAAACACCACGTTTTGTAGAAAATCCTATTTTTCTGTGTAATTGTAATATTTAACGCTCGACCGTTGAATATTAGTCGCATGTTGTGTAATGAAGGATAGAATACGATGCAGATCCACGCACATTTCAACATAAATATATATTAACAAACACAGATGAATAAATCCCAACGAGGTCTGTAAACTACAAGTAGCCTACAGATCAGATGGAACAGGAAGTAACTGTCCTGCTGATCTCGTCCACTCTCCAGGCGAGAAGCAGCTCATCTCAAACGAGAATATTGGTGTCAGAGTGACGACCCCAGAAATCCCCACGGAGACCTCCACCAAGAAGAAGGAAGTTTATTAATTAATACTCAGCTTCATGAATTCATGATCAGCGACGTCTGCTTCCTGCCTCCGTGTGGAACGAACAGCGTGAGACGTACGACCTGTCGCGTACGATATCGTCAGAGCCGAGAGCAGCTGGTGGCGCCGAGGCTGCTGTTTGCACTGAAAAGGCCACGTTTTGAAATGTGGCTTCATGAATTCCATCGGTTCACGTGGGATGTAAAGCGAGACTGAAGACAGCCGTCACTGCAGGCCGGCCCGCTAAGCGTTCGTCTGTCAGCTGCAAAAGGTCGCGAGTCGACGTCGGATAATGTTTGTTTTGGTTTTGCTACAAAGTCAGCCATGCTTCCAGTCCTCCATCTGTCTCTCCCACGATAAAGAAATATCACCTGACTCCTTCTGGGTGGCTGCCTTGTACAGCAGGGCGGCGTTCTTCTGATCTGAGGTCTGTCAGAGCGTCTTAACTCTGATGGAAAAGCTTGTTGCGAAGGAGACAAGGTCACGAGAGCCGCCATCAAACATGGAGTTACGGACGTGACGGCTTCAAAACAAAAGAACCACAGATTGAGCTGGTGACCTTTAGTAACCTGAAGAAGACGGTCTGAGCTGCTGAGCTCAACCGTTAGCTTCACTCAAAGTGTTTTTAGAAAAGATTATCAAGACTAAACCCATTCAGGACTGAGGCAGCTGAGGCTCAGTGGGTAGAGATCCTGTAAACCAGGCGGCTCTCTTCCAGTTACCTACGTAAGTATCAACCAGGAGGTTTAAATTCAATGGTTCCCAACTAGCAGAGAGAGAAGTCGCTGCATCCAGCGAGGACTCTGTGTTCACATCATCATGCTTGGTGCTCAAACACAGTCAGAGATGATGGACAATGTTTTCCTCATGTTTAATTATTAATGTGAAGATGTCGGCCATGTTATCTGACCAGAGAATTGTTTCTGTTGCTGCTGTTTACATTCCTGATGATGAAAACTCAAAAAATGCAGGAATGTGCTTCTGTTCTTGTTTAGTTTGACCTGTTCTTGCTCCAAAGTCTGTCAGATTGAGCATCCTCTGTTTGGTGTTCAAGGTGAAAAAAACAATGTAAAATAAATAGATGGAAGCTCAAATAGATGACAAAAAGCAGAGGAGCGATGATACTCTATCATGCAACGGTAGATCGAGCGGAGATATTAAATTATTGTTGTCATAGAAATACTTAAAAAGGGCCCTCAGGACTATGTGGACACCCTGAGGTGCGCTTCATCTCAGCGTTCTTGCCCCTTTTCTTTGTATCATCTATTTGGACTGAAATCTATTTGTTTGACTGTGTTTGACTTGCTTCATACTTTGTGTGGATATCACGTCTCTATCTGACAGCCGATTCGTTAACGGAGCACTATCCAACACTCACCAGCAACATTCAGTCTCCACCCGGCACATTTGATCCAACGTGTTTGGCCTTTCTTTGTGATAAGTGTTTGTTTGACATATAACGTTCAGGATAGGACAGACACGGAAAAACAAGCTCCATAGTCTCCACAGTGACATCACCAGTGCTTCTCTGAAGAGTTCACACATTTTTAACTTGAAGCAAAAAGGCGGACTCTCAGTAAAACCACGCTGGGTGCACATACGCGCTCTCCTCATTGAATAACAATTAATAAAGAGGCTGTAGCTCAGGAAAACAATGATATAGTATTTAACGGAGGTAGTTGACGTGTTGCTGGACTCCTTGAAAATGAGGAATAACTTTTTTTGTCAGATTTCATATAAACCGTCGCATGAGGAAACGTTGATCAAACCAACTCAGGACTTGAACTCAGGAGACCGCGGTACGAGTCCTGAGCAAAAACAAAGGTCAACGTTGACTCATTTAAATTTACGTCAATTAATTAAATAACGTAACAAAGGGACGAATTTAAAGCCGAACCACGATGTTTTACTGACAGTAACCAAATAGTTTTGTGTGTATTTATTGACATTCACCACATGTTTGAATGCAGAGGTCAGATTTCATGAAAGTACGTGAATGTGTGACTTCATGGAGCCTAGTTTTACTGATACAACGTTCCAACTTTGTCTTGTTAAGCTGTTCTGGTGAGATAATGACATGAGACCTACAGCTGAATATGGTAAAATAACTTACAGCCCAAAATCTCAAATATGACCAGTGCATGAAAAATATGTCTCGCCTTGAAGTGATTCTACATCTTGACCATCAACATCAACACGTATTGACCTAAAAAGTGGTCGTTAAAAGTAGGAGAGCATCCACCTCCTTTACAGACTTCTACTGTAGATGTAAAGAGAAAGGAACCAACTACGGCCAATACGTTCACATAACTACAGCGTGTTGACCTGCATTCACTAGTAGCTGGTGGGAGACGTAGTAACACTGCTCAGGTGGAGAGGAATCAAAGTTGCAGGAAGCAAAATGAAAAAGAAAGTTGACAATGAAAGAGCTGTCCTCCGCCCACTCTGTGTTTGCCGTCCTCTCACAAAGTAATATTCCATCTCATCAGCTGGTGCAAATGCTGTTCAAGTTCAGGGAAACAACAGGACATGCTGCTCCCTCACTGAGACGTGATGATGTAACGGGAAATGTAAAAATGACTCCCTGACAAAGTGGTGAAAAGTCAAGAAGAAGAAAACAAGAGAGGCTCAAAGTTAAATAGGACAGAGACATCAAATCATGTGTTTGTTAATGGTATTAAATATGAGGTTCTTTCTGCAAGCCTGGGTGGAGTTAGTGGAAATGTGTCACTATTGTTGATTGCATTATTTATCATCGACCTCGAGAACGTCTCTCAGCCGATTCATTTAGATGACAGCGTAACAGATAGTTGTATCACTCTCTACGCCGACGATGCAATTATGTCTCCAACAAAAGAAGGTTACAGAAAGCAACATGTGTGAGAGATTAAATCACAGTGATAAAAAGCTGATATTAGTAAACAGAGAACATCTAGATATTACCCATTGCTTTACATATCTTGGTGTTATTATGAATTATAATGGTCCACTTTGAGCAATTTTTGCCATTTTCTGTAAATGTAGGAACTTTATAGCACCTCTGGTAACATGAGCACAGAGGACACATGAGACAGTGGTATGTGCAGGTGTTCTCTAAAAGCTGTATGAGGTCTGACAGGAAGTAGAGAAAGATCTCTAACGAGCTGCTGGTTGTTAGAAACAAAGAATAAAACAGAGCTCTTCATGCTCTGAGGGACTCATCAGCTCAGTGTTTCACCAATTAGACCGTGAGAACGGAGACTCCAGGTTGTTTGATGCACATCAGGGTTTTAGGATGGATGAGGTCTTCATGTCTGATCTCACTTCTCTTAACAAAGAAGATGTGTATTCTTGTATTTTAGGTTGTAAATCTAATCACGCTTTAATGATCTTTTCAAAAGGTTTTGTCAATTAAATCTGTAATAAAGAAGCAATGCATTCTCTAGTGTTACAGAAGACATCAAGGCCGATGTACGAGCAAACAGGCAATTAACAATCTACTAATCAGCTCGACCGCCTTGAAGAGCTCGTTAGAAGAAGTATGTTGACGTATTTCAGCTTCATTTCAAACGTAAAATCCCATTTGTTACAAAACTACTTATTTATTGAATGCAAAAGTGATATTTGTATCACCAAAGACAAATCAGGTGTTTACGTTAACAGACAAATGGAATAGCTGCAGAGCATTGGAGGTCACTGTTTAAGGCCCTGAACGCATCGTGAGACTTCAGGGACACTGTGTTAATAAACAGAAGGACTCAGTACCTTCTGGATGGTCTCCAGCATGGACCAGCCTCCGTTCCATGGCTTGGTGGACTTCCTGATGCAGTTGAGACTGGCCATGCTGTGCCACTTCCTGTCCTCCAGCTTCCTGTAGAAGGCGTTGGCCATCATCAGCACGCTGTCGTACAGGTAGAGGTTGGACACCTGCAGAGAGAGAGAAGGTTTACATCAAATGTTGAATATCGGCAGCACGGCGTCAGGTGAAACACACGCTGAAGGATTGGACCGTGGACTGTGGACAGGACTGTGCAGAGTATCAAATATACTGTTTGTAGCAGGTTTTAATATTTCATCTGTAGGTCTGATCTCTGATCACCAGCAAACATCTCTTTAAAGAAGACACTACAGATAAACAGGGTGAAATAATGAAGTAACAGATATCACCATGAAATGCACAAGTGTATCAAATATGTGCTCATTTTCATTCATTTCCAGAACATAAATCTGAACATTGGATGAAGACAGATTCAAAACTCTTGTTTCATTTTGTTGACACATTAGAGTCAAAGGTTTTTAAGACAAATAGACAAAGTAGTAAAATAAATGTTTTCTTTTCACTCGTCTGAAAGAAGACGAGTTCAAAAATCTCTTAATTCTTAAATCTTAAAATATGATCCTTATAAACTCATGTGACTAAACTCTGCTTTCATTTTTACACTGTTAATCAACTTTGTTCTTCATATGAATCCTCGTAACGTTCTGCTGTTTGTATCCATGAAGTGATGTCATGAAGGATAAACTCAGAGATTTAATACTTGTTTTGTTTTCCAAGATGTTCCTGCATTGCATTGTGGGAAAAACATTACCAACACTAACCATCAAGTGTTTTTACTCTCAACTGTCCACATGTGTGACACAGCTGGCTGCTGCATCATCTGCTGGCTCAGAGAGCCACACACACACACACACACTCACACACACACACACACACACACACACACACACAGGATAGTCAGCTCGTAGCCAGCCTGCCCACATGTGATCATGTCGTCTCTCACCCTGGGCTGCAGAGGGTGGAGGGGACACACTGTGACAAATCACACACTCAGTCACTTTCTCTCTCACACACACACACACACACACACACACACACACACACACACACACAC